GGAATGCAAAGCAGCAGGAGGCAGCGCTGCCAGGCTGCAAAACCCTTTCAGACAGCGGCCCTCTGCCCCGGCTCCGAGGTTCTGCTCGGCCAGGGAGGAGACTGGTTTCCCCCGGCCATCCCTTTGCTGAGAGGCGCACAGGGAGAGGGCAGGTCTAATGCCCTGTGCCAGGGAGCCCTGCCAAGGCCCCTCCAGCACCACCTGACCTGCGGAGGTGAGGGGGCAGCTCAGGTCTCCATGCACCTGGGCTCTCTCCCGCCGCCCCCACCCTCAGCGACCTGTCTCTGTCCTTGGCCCTGCCTGGCATTCACTGGCCGAGTCAGAGTCAGGGCTGCTAGGAGGAATGGCAGGACGGCCACACTGGGCCGGGCCAGACCAAAGGTCCGTCCAGTCCCTGTCTGCCGCCAGCGCCCCAGAGGGAGGGAACAGAACAGGGAATCATCATGTGTTCCCCCCCCTGCCAGTCCCTGCCAGTCCCTGACAGACAGAGACAGGGTCTAGGGACGCCCTCCCTGGCTCATAGCCATTGATGGACCCGACCTCCATGAATCTAGCTGGCTCTCCTGAACCCTGTTCAAGTCCTGCTCTTCACAACTTCTTAATGCCGTAGCTCCAAGCTCAGCACTCATTCCTGCCAGGGGTCGGGCCACTCTTGGTGTGTACAGCCCAGCAAGACTCTGGGCAGAGGACGTTCATGTCCCCCAGTCCCCTACAAGCCAGGGACCTTTCCATCCTCCTGGGGGCAGAACTTGTCTCCTGCATCTCTCCATGCAGTATTTTCAGATCCTGTCGCCCCAGGAGGCTTCAGATGAGCTCTGAGAAGAGCCTGGCTTGCCACACTCAATTCGGGTATGTCTACACGGCGCCCTTACCTCGAAATAAGCTACCCAATTTGCACTGAGTAACCACCACCAAGGTGGATTTGAACCTGGGCCCTCGGGAGCTGACTAGAGGAGCCTCTACCCTCTGAGCTAAAAGTCGGCTGCCTCCTAGTCCCTGCTGTAGAGGTCACTTGAGCTGAACTGTTGCAGTGGTCTAGGTGCCACTTGCAGTACTCAGTGACCACACTAGGGCTACGTCTAGACTGGCATGATTTTCCTCAAATGCTTATAATGGAAAAATTTTCTGTTAAAAGCATTTGCGGAAAAGAGTGTCTAGATTGGCATGGATGCTTTTCCACAAAAGCATGGTGAGGTCAAAGGTCACAGGGATACCACCGCAGGCATGGTGAGGTCAAAGGTCACAGGGGTACCACCGCAGGCATGGTAAGGGCAAAGGTCATAGGGATACCACCACAGGCCACAGGGATACCACCGCAGGCATGGTGAGGTCAAAGGTCACAGGGATACCACCGCAGGCATGGGTCACAGGGATACCGCTCCAGACCTGGTGCTTCCGTCGCCAGGGCCATGGCAGATCTGCTGTTGATAGGCCCCGGCTCTGCAAATTCTCAGCCCCATGGGGTGTGGGAAATCCAGCCCCATCCGGCATGAGGCAAAAGGGGTTGTGACTCTGTGACCTTTGCCTGACACTGTCCCACACACTCCGAAGTGTGCTGGTGCCTGGAGACGTGACAGCCCAGCCGAGTGTGCCGGCACCTTCCCCCGCCAGGCTGTCGCCGGCGCGCAGGGCTGGGGAGACCATTTGGGAGGCGGAGGTGTGAAGCCTCCCAGTTAGGTTACACTTTCCAGGCTCCTGTCCGCTCTGCTGCCCGTCTCTTTGCGGGGCGAGCTCGGAGCGGGGCGAGCGCTCCTCCGGGCTTCGGGCGCGCGGGATCCAAGGGGCACCGCGCTGACAGAGCCGCCGGGGCGGCTGTACATCAGGCCTGTCTAACCGCAGGCCGGGGGCTTTCCCAGGGCCTCTGCCCTGCCCCTCAACCTGCCCCTCAAACTGCCGGGGCTTTCGTGCTGCAGCTGTGAAAGTGACACCGAGTCGCAAGGGGGGAGGTGGAGAGGATAGAAACTGAGCCTTGTCAGGCAGGCTGCAAAGGAGGGTGCTGGGGAGCACTTCAGACCTGCTGCTGGGGGAGGGGGGAGATCTCTGAAAGTCAGGGGCTGGGGTGTTAAAAAAATTCCTTGGCTGTCAGGTTTTTGGCTTAGTGAGAAGCTGTAGGACCTGGGGAGCGGTCCTGGGCAGGCAGGGCCCGGTGTGCTGGGCAGGGATGCAGGAAGCAGTGGGGCGTGTTGCTTTGGCCACAGGTGGTTTGTAGAGAGAGCGAGCCCGGTACAGACCAACGCGCCTGCCAACGGCAACGGCCACGGGAAGTGGGGACGGGCTGCAATTGTGACAGCAAAGGGACTGAGTTGGGCCTTCGCTTCTGGCTTGTTTGTCCCGCGGGGGTTGCATTACACCAGGGCCACCCAACTTCGCCAGCCCCGGAGCCCACAATGATACTCACAGCACGTGCTGAGGGCCGCAACTGAAGTGTGGTTGCATATCCATTCAAATATATATGCAAATATATGATAATAGATGAATACAAAGATTAAGGCAAGACTACAGAACACGCAGGCCCCATTTAAGTCCATTCTGCTGATATTAATAAAATGCAACATTTACCCGATATCCACCCCTATGACAGCACTTTTAACGAGCAAAGCAGTCCAGGAATTTACCTATTAAATCGCATCTCCACAGAAGACCATTCTATTGATGACTTTGTTGTCTGGGCTCCTACCTGCGGGTTGCGTGTTGAGCCCCGCGTAAACCCAGACTGCCCCGCGGGCTGCAAACAAACGGGCTGCAGGCTGTGTGTTGAGTAGCCCTGCATTGAAATATAATGTGAGTCAGGTGCAAGGCTTGGAAGTGTGTGTGCATGGGAAGGGCACAAGTGTGAGCGGGGAGGCTAAGGGGGGAGGTAGGGAGGGGTAGAAAGCTAGCCAGGAGTGGGAGGTTTGGATGGGGCAATGCGGGGAAGGGAGGGAGGTTTCCAGGTGTCACAGGGTGAATAGGCCCTAGAAGCGGGAGTAGGGGCTGGTGCACCAGGACTGCCGACCTGGGGTTATAGAGCAGCAGGCACTTGGGCCTTTGTCAAGAAGTGGAGGGCTGCAGAGAGCTACTGTCCATGGAGCCCACTAAGGTAGGCTGACCCAGCAGACACTGTGGGAGTAGAAGAGATGGGAGCCAGAGAGGGCAGGGCAAAGCCTGCCACAGCAGGGAGGTGCTGCAGACAGACAGGGCAGGATTAAAGTTCAAAAAAGGGCAAGACAAATTATTAGGGGTTTGGAACGGGTCCCATATGAAGAGAGATTAAAAAGACTGGGGCTTTTCAGCTTGGAAAAGAGGCTAGAGGTCTATAAAATCATGACTGGTGTGGAAAAGGTAGATAAGGAAAAGTTATTTACTTGTTCCCACAATATAAGAACTAGGGGTCACCAAATGAAATTAGTAGGTAGCAGGTTTAAACCAAACAAAAGGAAGTTTTTCTTCTTGCAGCACACAGTTAACCTGTGGAACTTCTTGCCAGAGGATGTTATGAAGAATAGGACTTTAACAGGGCCCAAAAAAGAGCTAGATACATTCATGGAGGTTTGGTCCATCAATGGCTATTAGCCAGGATGGGTAGGAATAGTGTCCCTAGCCTCTGTCTGGAAATGGATGACAGGGGAAGGATCACATGAGGATTACCTGTTCTGTTCCCTTCCTCTGGGGCATCTGGCATTGGCCACTGCCAGCAGACAGGACACTGGGCTCTATGGACCTTTGATCTGACTCGGTCTGGCCGTTCTTATGTCCTGCCACTGCAGGGAAGCACTGCCACCAGGCAGGGCCGGATTAAGGCAAATACGCGAACGAAGCTACATCTTAGAACAGGGGTGGGGAATGTAGGGCACTGGGGAACTTGCACCGGTGCTGCTTCTCCCTCCCACGGGGCTGGCGCACACAAAATCCATTAGCCTGGCCCCTCTAGGCTCTGGGGTGTGAAGGGAATGTGGGGAGCGTCTTTCTCCTCAGTCGGGGGCCACGTCAATAAGGGTTTGGCTTTTTGTTTTGTTTTTTGCTTCTCACTGGTGTGCAGCCTCCAGCTGATTTTTCTGTGGGTCAGCGCCCCCCCCCCCCAAAAAAAGGCTCCTCACGCCCGGCTTAGAGCCTCGCCACATGAGGGGCTTCTAAAAAAGGGAAAAAAACCCACGGATTCCGGCCCAAATGTTACCAAAATCAGTTGCTAAATAAAGGAGAAATGGGGAAAAGCAGATTCTCTCTAAATATAGACATGTTTATTCCCAAATGACAAAAATATACCCATCTGGGACAAAAATACCCTAATCCGACCCCAGCATTTTGTCGGCAGCTGCTACTGGCAAAAATCTGGCTGTGCCTTCATTGTTTATTTAAATACATAAATAATTGCACTGCCGAGAAATCTTCATCCAGCAGACTCATGAAGCTTTTCTGCCAAGTCCATCCTGGGAGTGATGTCTTACGCAGGGTCCCCCCGGGTTGGTCATAACATGGCTGTCTGCTTCCTGTGCTATCCGCGCTTCCCATGACTGAGTTAGCAGGGGATCGTCTTACGGACTTGGGTCAAATGGATCTGGAGGAGGATTCACTTGTGTTGGCTTCAGTTTCGGGAACCTTCAGAGTATTTTGATGGCAGGGCAAAAGAAAACCCCCAACAATGCAGTGTTGTGTAGTGAAAATCAAATTGGAATCAACATTTGTAAACGTATTTTACTTACAGTCTGGATAAATGTTGAGTTTCCCTAACAAAATTAACCCATTTTTTCATTTATTCATATGAAAAGAAGGCTCATTGTCCTTATTCGGGGAGTACAAATGTTATTGCCTCTCTTGTTTTCCTGTGAGAAGATAAAGCCTTTGGGTGTATTGATTCAATGTCCCTTCTGCGAAAAGAATGCATTTATTTCTGCTGGTGTTGAATCGCGGAGGGCCTCAGAATGCAGCCCTGCAGACAGCAGATCTGGGGAGAAAAAGGGAACCCTCGTGGCTAGGCATTGCGTGATTTAGGCCAGCAAATTAGACACTGGGAGAAAGGGCATTTCTGGACCAATCTAAAGCCTGTTAATAAGGGGTGCAAAGGAGAGATAGGAGGCAGGGTGCTGCTGAGGCACACCACGCTAGAAAGGGGGCGCTGTGGGGCAGGCATGCCGTTCTAGAGCGCCGCCTACTGGCCCACTGTGGCGTGGCAGTGCCCGCTTGTGGGCTGGCTGCCCAAGGCTAGCACGGAGGGTCAGATCAGTGGTACGAGTACCCTTAGGGGTACTCAAGAGAAGTCTGGGGGCACGTCAACACAACCGACATTTGGAGAAAACGGAATGGTGGTTTTAAGTTTTACAGCGTTTTGTTATTTTTGTACTTTTTGCGCCCAAAAATGGAATCGTCCACCTGACCACGATTAAGTTGTTTAAACAAATATGTTGTAATAGTAGAAAAACTTTTGTGTGTCTGAAAACTGTAGGTACTGGGGGCATATATATATATATATATATTTTGAAAAAGGGGTATTTTATAAAAAAAGGTTGCGAAACACTGGGCTAAATGATGCTGGGCTCCCGTGTCTCTTGCTGACTCCAGCGCGCTCTGATTGGCGGGGTTTCGCGGTCGGCGCTGTGGGCCGGGAATGATGGCTTTGGTGCCCCGGGCACTCCCAGGGAATGGTACTAGGAGTGCGTGCCCCCACCCAGACAGGAGCTGGCCCAAAACAACCTCTGCAGCGCGCCCATCCATCCGGCCGGGAGAGGGTGTCCCGAGCAGCCCTACAATAACAACTTGGGCTCCTGGACAGGCTGGGGGAAAACACGCAGAAAGGCAGCCGCCCGCCCGGGATCCGAAACGAGGGGGAGGGCAAAGGAGGGGCTGCTGCCTCCGCTAATGGCAGGACACCTTGTGCCAGCAGCAAGAGCTCGGGGGGAGATTGCCATGGCTAAGCGCCCGCACAGAGCCCAACCTCCTGCTAGCTAGTGGGCCAGGCATGTCCCCAGACCCCGCCCGGCGTGTCGGCTCAGCGCTCGCTCGCCTTGCTCCAGGGCTGGCCCGTGTTTCCCGATCCGCCCTCTCGCGCCTCACAGCACGCCCGGGAGGGCAGGAAGGGCGGTTATCCCCACTTCGTCTCCCTGCTTTGCGCGTGCACACGGCGTTGGCACGTGAGAGCCACAGTAGCCGGAGGGAGGAGCGTGAACGCACGCACAGACTGGAGAGCTCCGAAACACCGACCCTCAGCATTGTAAGCCCGGGGGAGGGAGGAAGCGGGAGAAAATCCGCACCATGGCGTCCATTTCTGGTGTCCGTCTGTCTCTCCGGTGCGTACAAACAACAGCCCTCCGCCCCTTATAACAAAGGCAAGAGGCCCACTCAGATTAGGCTGGTTCCCAGCGGTTGCCAGGCTCTCTGGAGCTGAGAAGCGGGGAGGGGAGGAGGCCGGGGGAGCTGGCCGGAGTGGCTGTAATACCGCTCAGCAGCCGCCTTCACCCTCCCCACGCTTTGTTATTCTAAGACTCCTGGCCCAAATGAGAAACAAATGGGAAAATGTAACCAGGCAGAGCCACTGCCACAGATGGGGGGCAAAGGAGAGCCCCAGGGCGACAAATTGTGTCCTCCCGAAGGGCCCAGCCAAGCCGGCCGCGCTCGTTCCCAGAGAGGGAGCATTTGGGACAGCTGGACGCACGGCAGAGGCCGGGCGGGACCATTTGCTATTTTCTCCCCTTCTCCCACCTTGAAGGCAGTTTGGGAGAGGGGCTAAGCTGGGACCCCACTTTGCCTCCTGCTCCCGCCACGTGCCCCGCACCACGAGGGGAGCAGCACGTGGGGAAGAGGCGTAGTGCGGGGGCCGCTGAGCTGCGATAAAGCGGGGAGACCGCGCCCCCCACCCAGCACGAGGCTGTCTCAGCGCTGGCAACGACCGGCCATTCCGGTGCTTTCCGCGGGGCCGTGGCAAAATCCCTTCCCTGTGGCCTTGGCTGGGCTGAGCTGACTCGACAGGGAAAATTCCCTCCGACTCCTTCCTCCTGGGGCTGCGGGAGTGGGCCGTGGCCCATCCGGGCGGTGGAGATGTCCGGGGGCTGGGGGACGGGGGCGCTGGTCCCGCTCAGGATGGCAATCGGTGTTAATAAGAGGCCCATAACAAATCCCATTAAAGCTTCGTTAGGGTCCCTGGGGGGCTCTAATTAGCAGAGGTGCTGCAGGAGTCGGGGGGACTCTGAGGGGAGGATGGGACGTGGGCCGGGCTGGGTTGCCCTGGGCAGGGCCCCCTGTGCGGAGCAGGGGTGAGGTGGTGCCACTCGGACCCGTGCTGAGCACTGCCAGTGAGGAGGAGGGAAGTGGGGGGCAAGTGTGAGAAGGCAGCTCTGGCAGGCGCTTAGTGGCGGGGGAGAGGCTCACCCCATGGGTGGCTCGTCTGACAGGGAAATTCCAAGGGCGCCCCTGCTAACGCCCCAGCCCTGGCTGGCAACGTCCAGCCCAAACCAGGTTCTTCTGGGGAGACCCCCAGGGCTGCCCCTAGAGCAGCACAGCCCCCCGGCAGGCTGGGAGGGCAGAGCCACCCCAGTGCTTGGGAGAGTCCCCCCTGCAGCGCCCGGGCCTGGCCCCCTGAAGGTCTGGGAGCGCACGGCGCGAGACAGAAGCGGGGCCTGTCGTTCCCCAGCTCTAGCTCCAGAGGTGGGGCAGCCCCCCGGGCTCCCTGCAGAGCTAGGTACACAGGCCTGGGCAGCCTGGCCGCCGTGCGCTGCCCCAGGGGCACCCTGGCAGTGGGGGAGGCAGCTCAGCCCCCCAACACTGGTCTTTCTAGCAGGGCTG